TGAAAAGTGGGAGGAACACAACCAAAAGGGAGAGAAAAACCAGGTGGGTTCGAATCCAAACCTCAATATATCAAAATCTTAATCCCAATGAAGAGAGACTGTAGATGAACCATCTACAGACAAGAATGTGGTGAAAACTAAAATGCATGTGCCCCAAGGTGTAGAGTGGCTAGGGTGGGTACATTGGACTGTAGACGGATGGTCAACTCCAAAACCAAGCAGCATCAGGAATACAACTTCTGAACCATGGTAGGAATAGGGTCCACACCAAGTTGAGTAGAACAGAAATATTTACTTTTCCAACTGATCTATGAAACAGGGCACATGTGCACAAATTCACAACCACCTATACATCTGGGAACCCAAAATCTGAATGAGAGTATGAAGAAATGTGCCAATTTGGCAGGTCACATCAAACCAAGCTCAATCAGACTGGTATCCCACTGCACAACATCACTCTTACTAGGTGAATATTTTTGAGGTGGAGTGCAAGAGAGAGAGAACCTTAACCCAAAAAACATCATCCTCAAGAGAAGACCCCACAATAGCTGGAGTACATGTTCATGCAACTTCCAAGACCCACCAAAGAGAGTATGAAAATCATGAGGCACAACTAATAAATTGAACAAGGATAAGAAAACACAACCAACACAAGTGAGGATTTATGTTGACTGGTCCAGCTCTAATCCAAAACCACTCACTGGAAACCACTTTCCAGATGATGGTAGGATGAGGGATACCAATCAGAGGGATGAAGTGCAATGTGATGGATCACTTCTGTAGAAGATATACAACCTCAACCTCCAAGCAGAACCACACAAAAGCTAGATACAGCATCAAAATACAGGGATGAAATGTGATGGATCTACTCCAAAGCAGCAGCATCCTCCAGATAGGACTGCACAAAGGTGGAGCACATGATCAGAGGATTGAATGCTACCTATACCAACACAACATCAATGCTCTACTTTTTACTGAATGAAGACTCCTCCATGGTCCACCACCCTAGCGGCTCAAAAGTGGAAAGAGGCAAAGACTCTCTCATACTCCATTAGAAGAACAAGAGGGACCAAATGAGGTGGAAAGTCTGGAGGAACACTAATACCAGGGATAGTGTAACAAGTGACCACAAAAACCCTATACTGAAAAGCAGCTATTCCCTTCTACTTTACCCATGTAAGACCATGGGTTAATACAGTTCAGAATGGACATATTTATGAAGCAAATATATATTGTGAGGAAATCCTACTAGAGATCTTGTGGAACACCTCATCTCAACAATGTGTATTACTGACCATGGGTATACATCTTGGCTGTACAGTGCAGGGTTGAGATATAGGAAGCATACCTGGACACACTCGACACTGAGTGGGATCCCAAACCCAAATGGGACATGCCATTGGAAGGAATAAATATATAGAAAAGATAACTTATCCAGTCATACTCACACTGAAGTCTGAAGGATGGAGACAGGCAGAAGTCAGTTCCCTGATGAGGAAGAAACAACCACCTGATGAAGATAGTGGGAGATGAACATATGAGGTGTAGTCCACATGCCGGACTGAAGAATTTCCTCCAATGGATAAGAGAGGCGAGATGCTAGGGAAATGGTAAGGTGCCTGATCTGATGCAACAACACCTAGAACAGATTTTGGGAAGGAGACAGGGAGGAATATGCCAATCAAATTAAGGGTAGAAAGAGAAAGGTCACATACAGAGGAATGTTGCCATGGGATGAAAAGGCAGGAACAGGAACCACAACATTGAAACAATATATTACAAAGATAATAAACAAAATCTTCAGAATTTACCCGAACTTCCAGTCGAGGCTGAAGGGTTAAAACCGGAACTGAAGCCATAAGATGGGGCAGTTGTTTTTGCAGGATTTCCAAACGAAAATCCCCCAGTTCCACCTAAAGAAGAAAACGTTTAAAGGTCATATAAAAGCACACATGTAATAACTCTCAATTCTATTGTTTTCATAGAACTTATGAAATGAAGAAATCTTGAAATACATACATTGCACAGCATATAATTTATATCACAGTAAAAGGTTATACATAACTGTCAACTATACCCTGATTTTAAAATATGATTTTATTCAAAATGTTTATACAGGTGTGTTTAATAATGCGATGTTATTGGTTATACTAAAGTACTGAATATATACTTCCGATAGGTACATACCTCCATTCACATATATTCACATTCATGTTCAGTGCTGCTCTCTATACAATATTTTTTTTCGCATGCCACATGCCTTGAACTCTCACGTACCCCATGATCAACGTGGTTCACTGAGTCTTGCATGTAAATCATCATGCCACACACCCTCCTGATGCATGTGTTTCCCTCTATTTGATTCTACCAAACTATCACTTTGAGATTAGACAGAAAGTACCAGTTGTAGCAGGGAGGAGATAAGTGCTTATCGGAAACATATTTTCATTTTCAGTACAGGAAAATAATAACCTCTGATTCAATACTTTACCTCTTCTCACATGTATGGCTAGAATCCCACATTGAACAGGTGGAGGGACCAGTGTGAGGGATAGAAAGAAGTATCCTTCGAAAGTGCCTGAAGAACACCCATGAAGTGTGATCCCTGTTAGGAGAGGAACACAAGAGGGAGACTGCATCACTTCTGAACCAGGTATACTCTGTGACTAGCATTATGATAAATAGTTTTTCACAGGAAATAATGTATACCATATCGTAATTTAATAAAATACATATCTTGTTTTTTTAGTGAATCTAACAACATATACAACATTTTATTATTAGATTTAGTATTCTGAAAGCTAACTTGATAATATTGTCTTGTATAAAAACTGCAGCTACTATAGAGTTTGGATTCATCCCAAGTAGCTTTACATATCCAACTTTTAAGTGAAGTACACCTTCTTTCCTTGCTATTAGGCTCATTTCCTGAGAAAGAGTCTTGTTTTTTATTTTGTTAATACCATTATTGTGGCAGAAATATTCAATAATCCAATTTCAATTGTAGACAAAAGAATTTTGTACAGTCAGCATTTACTGTTACATATATGTTTTCAACCATTACCGAGTTTTAGTATTCTGGCATTGTCTGTGATATGCATGCCACTGTTAGGGTAGAGCTGTAGTACATGTACATTTAGCACTTGGGTTGCCAGGCTGTCTTATTGAAATCTCATTATTTGACCACTGTTCAAGTTTTCTCTGATCTTACTGTTCTAACATCACATATACCATCTGTACAGCTGAGTTCTGTTGATTATATTTTATGACACAGACTACAGAAAAGAAAGGTAACAGAATTTTCACAGCTAAGTTTTTTAGATGATAAGATATTCTGTAGTACTTGTTTAGAAACCAATCTGATTTGTAATTGTTTTGCATGCAGTTGTGAAGTGTTTCAATGTTCAACTCTGTTTTAACACTTTGGAGAAAGAGAGGATAACTCATGTGACAGTGTGATAAGAAGTCACTTAAATGAATATGTTTTTGCAGTTATTTAAATAACCAAAATTTAAATGCAATAATTGAATATATTTACATAAACATATAGCATTATTCATAAATGTTGTTGTGATTCATAATTTGAAAAACTGATAACAAGAGTGCTTTTGGAAGGTAGACCTTTCTCTAGGGGTAATGCATGGGTTATAATGACAAGCTAAAATTCACTTTGTAATGCATTAGATGCATTAATTTGACAATTATAATAGCTATATAAAATATCATTAAAGCAGACAAGATGTTTCTATCACAAATAGAATTTTTCGTAAAAAACTTGCATGTCTATAAATTAACATGATAAAGATACTACACATTTTTTTTAGTATTTTAATGCCCATTCTTTTATATAGTGAAATGGGAGTTTTCTACTGACATGTGTCCCTGACTTAAAGTAATGCTATGTGGGTGTGGAAAACAAAACTTTTTGTTATTTGCCATCAGAATTATAATAGAGCTAAAGCTAAATACCAAAACTATTCAGTTGAACATGTGACACATGTTGATCATTTGATCAAATATTTATTAAATTCTTGCCTTACATTACAAATGGTTGTAAAGGAAAGACTTCAAGAGAAGAATTAGACCAAAGATAGTACCATTCTTGTTATCATTCCTTCAAATTAAACATTGTGTGACTTCTTGGTCTTTATCCATCAGGCATCTCAAAGACCTTCAAGCCAACAGTTAGGTTCTGCAAGCAACTGCTGTAGAACTGATGTTTTCGACGAATAACTATTTTGGGTACAGAATTTCTCCTGCTCCTTTAGTTTGTGGCACAATCAGCTGAAAGGATGGAAGCAGTTACAGTTTCATTGTGCAATTCCCAGAAATAATCTTTCACAGTAGAAAAATATATTACTCAATCAAGCTTATTAGAAACAAAGGACGTAGAACATATAAAACAGTACAAGCAAGTTATCTCTCCAGACCACAGTACATTGCAACCAGTTGTTCTGCTTTACTGGAAAATAATTTGAGTGTTGATGAATTTGACTCCTCATGTGACATTATTGTGGCTGTTGTCAATTTCAGAGGCCATAATAACCAGTGGAGCATTTTTAGATGCAATTAGGAGTTTTAAAACAAGAAAAAGCATTTGATTTTAAAACCATGAGGGATGCTATCCCTTTTGTGGAATTGTAGGATCTTGCTTTGTTAACATATTGAAAACCCTTGTACCCTTTCTTTATTTTAGCTGCCATAACCAGAATCCTTATGACACTCAATTACAAGTTTAAAGCAGTCTATTGTATTTTGGTAATATCATGGGTGCTGCATCATAACTTGTACTTAGAGTGCATCCTCTTCTCTTTGAGTATATCTTGTATTAGTAGAATCAAATAAGTGGAATATCTGCTTTACAGAAACGTGCTCCCACTAGGATGAGTAAGATGTGTGTGTGTGAAAAGTATGATTTTTTCAATATGTACATAGGCAAATACTAACAACAATAAGAACAGGTGAGCATATTTTGTTTTTCTAATACTTGGTGACAAAAAACAAAACTCACTTTTTTAGGATTTTCGTTTGGAGGGTTAGGATCTACAACTTCCACTGCACCAGGAGTAACAGGATTGAACTTTGGAGCATTAGGAGCAACAAATGCACCTAGCAGTGGATTTTCTTTTGGAGGTCTTGGTACAGGTACAACTACCACAGGATCTGGATTATCTTTTGGTAGCCTTGGATCTACTGGAACATCATCTGGTCTGTTTGGTGGATTAGGTTCTACTGGTACATCTGCTGTTCCCACATTTGGTGGATTAGGTACAACAACTGGAGCTTCTGGTGGCATGTTTGGTAATTTAGGCTCCACCGGAACATCATCAGTTTTTGGTGGTTTAGGGTCAACAGGAACAGCTTTTGGCTCTGGAACTGGTCTGTTTGGAAGTTCCAATGCAGGTAGGGCCATTTATTTAATACATGCATGTGAGCAACTTCATTGCTCAAAGATATATATGTGTGTATGTGTGTGTATAGTGAAGTAAAATGAAATTTCAAGTTACAGAGTGAAAACAGTCAAGTGAGAGATGCACTGTGTGTATCATTACACCAATTTGATACACCATGTATCATGTCTAACTTCTAGTTGCAAGTCTCACATTTGAGGTAAACTTAAAACTAGGAACAAATGTTGGTGTTATAACTCATCCAAACTACCAGTTAACTAATATTTAGTAAAATTATTATTATTGCTTTAGAAAATTAATCTTTAAAAGGAGATTAAAAGACCATCTCTGTGTAATGATATTGTTAATGATTTATGCTGCTTACATAATTGAAACCATGGAATGTTAAATAACAGTTAATTAGCTTTATAACAGTAGAATCCTCTAACATATCCTCTGATATATTTACATTACTAATTTAAGAGATATCTTTCCTATTTCTTCAAGTTGTGTCATTTCATGTTAAATACTGGAAGAATGAAACACCTGTAGTTCAAAACCAAACATACATTGAAAAAACAATTTTCAGGTCCAGCAACTGTCACAAACATAGCTTCAGCACTTTTACTGCTGATGGTATATGGAGATGAACGAGATACTATCCTAGCTAAATGGAACCAACTTCAGGCCTTCTGGGGAACAGGAAAAGGATATTTTTCTTCCAATGCTCTTCCAGTAGATTTTACTCCGGAAAATCCATTTTGTAGGTTTAAGGTAATTTCACATACTCCATCAATTAAATGATTTAGTATGTGGTAGTGTTTGAGAAAATTTAACCTTGTACATTATTATCATTATCACATTATTTGTTGTTGTACAGGTGATTAAAATATTTCATCCATGTATTAGAGTTTAATTGGAGAATATGTTTTATTCTTAATGGTTGAAGCTATCAAAAATTGAAATGTTGTCCTTGAACAAGTTTAAAACAAGCCAGTATAGTCTGTCAAAATCTTTCACACGAGTCCTCAACAACGTAAACTCCTTAAGTATATGTACTAGCCGTATGTTAGAGATTTGACTTTTATATAAAATTACCTAGCAGGTTCTAGTAAGTTATCGGAAGTTGCAAGAGCTTAATTTTATAAAGTTAACACATCATTGCAAATATTTGTCACTTAGGATATTTAATGTAATGCTGGAAATTTAACTTGTCATTAAAGCCATTAACATAATATCAGAAAGTTAAAAATATCCTGTCATTGAAGACTTGTAAGGTTTTGGACATTTCACTTGTGAACTTGCTGTGAGATTTAAATTATCAAGTATTTGTTTTATAAACTTTGATTTTTGAATTTAAGTGTATTTGATGGGGGGGGGGGGGACAGAATTATTTCATCCTAAATCATTATACTGCTTGCATTAGATATAAGTATATATGAGGATTATACTTGAATGTATGTAAAAAAAAGAAATTGGGTTTTCAAGGAATGTATTACTTAACTATAAAATTTTGTTCCTATAAATATATATTGGAAAGTGATGTCAAAGCTGCTGTTGTGAGTGTTATACTAAAGTTTGTTGTAATCTTGCTTCGTTTTGAGAATCATGTTTTTAGAATCTGTACCGTGTTCATTGTTTTAACCATAATCGTGATGATGCAGTTTAGAGTTACATGCTACTGTGCTGTATCACATTTACTTAGTAATTTATTCTTTATGCAGACAAGTGCTTTTCCAAATAGCTTATTGTATTCTTAACTAGGCTTTCAATTCAAATATATCACATGTATTATACATTAAATTTTTTATGGCAGAATTACCCATTTTAATGACTTTCTTTCTCGTAAAAGTAACTATTCATGCCTTTGTAAGTAGGGTACTAAAGATTCTCAAGTTGTATGGAACAGCTTTTGTCACTGAAGTAGGACAGTCGTAATTGTGTAGTTACTGGTGCATATTGAAAGCAACAAACAGTGAGGCAGAGTGAGCTGGTTTTATGACACCATATTGTGTGGTTGTTTTAACTTTAACAAATACTGTAGAGAAAGAAAACTGTAGCTGGTCAGAATTTCATCAAAATCCACTTATACTGAGGCATTTCTCATAAACTTATCCATGAAATATATAGTAACTTACATATAAGACTGATTGGGGAATGTAATTAAGAACTGTAATTAAAGTTCAGGTACCCTGAATACTGTGTAGGTCTGTATATTGATATACTGATGATGAAATATAAAACATATTTATAGTTCATTTTGAATGCAAATAGATTTTTAGGTTTGAAAATCTGAATATTAATAATAAAAACAGTAAGAAAGTTACCCATATAGTTAACCAACAGAATGATTAATCTTAAAATAATTGATCAGTTAAATAAAAATTTATTTCTTCAAACACCAGACATTATTAAAGAACTTTTCTTAAACAGTAATAGAAATTCAATGTTGTTGAAAAATACTGCAAAATTAACTTCTGCATAAGCTAGTGTGGAGTACATGTACTTGATTTAATATAAATTAGAATTCTTCAAGTGTGAAATAAGCCTGCTTACATAGCATTTTACTTCTATGACTTAAATCTGTATGTCTCAATAGCATAAGTGTTTAAAAAAGTTTTTTTTTAATTGAATTCTTCTGTTCATATCTGGTAAAATCAGACTCCATCTTTAGATAATCTTATCAAGTTTATAAAGCTAATTAAATTTTCAGTAAAGTTTATGTGGGTGTGTTTGGTGTCATTCATTACTTGTATATTTCAATTCTCCTGATTGAATAGGCTATAGGTACAGTTGCCTTCCCACAAACAAGCCTGAAGAAGGGCATGTCAGCTTGATTATAAACAAAAAAGACACAGAAGTTCATAGCCAACAGCAACATCTAGTTGATTCCCTCCATAGGCTACTGGGAAGTAAACCGACATTATCTGTTTGTGTGGAGGGTGTGCGAGCTTTACCAGATGTCAGGTTAGTTTTTTTGTTGTTGTTGTTATTACTGTAGATTGAAAAAATACACATAAAAAAAAAAAAACTTGCGTTTATAGGAAATTTTATAGATGAACATAAATATTGTTTTGAAAACATTCTATGTGGGTACATTAAAATAAGAGTGGAGAAGGTTTATATCCCATGTGTGTGTGTGTTTATTATATATATTCTTTACTTCAATATAAATCAACCATAGAAAAAAAACAACCCATCAAGTTAATTTGGCGATAGAAGCAGCCTGGCTGTGGCAACATTTCATGATCATTGACATGATCTATATTTGTCACAGTCAACTGTCATTATACTGTAAGTCCATTCTAATAACAAAGTTGGTGGTTTTAAGTATTGTTTACAGTGATGATAATCCATTTACATTTTTTCTTAACTCATTACATAGCAATATTATCTCATTATTTGTCATATTTAGCATTTTCCTCTCATACCGTTTCTCTCAGACTTTTCCATTTTAATTAAAATGGTTTTTGGTTCTGGACTTTGTTAGATAATTTTTTTTTATTGGTCATATGCTCTTTGAGTACACAATTGCTATAAATCTAGTGTACAAAACTAACTTTTTTTTATAGTATTAACTATAATTTTCTGATGTGTTGTAAATGAATAGGACTTGAATAAGATACTTTCTGATATTTTTTTTGCATAAAAATAGTTTTGTAAAATTCAAAATGCATTTATTTAATTTTTCTTCTGACAGTGACTTAATAATTGTACTATTCTTTTTTTATTTATTCTTTTATGATGTGAGGTTGATTTTAATTCTAAACATTTCACAATTTGTTTTTCTCACCGGATAAACTTGGGGTAATTTGATAATGATAATAAACTATGTACTTAGAACAGTTATTCTGTCATCTTCAATTTCTTTTCTAAGAGGTTATTTCAATACACATTTCATAGATTAGTTTTTGTTTTGCTAATTGAACATTTTATTATCTACAGTATTAGCACTTTGCAGGTTTTCCTAATACTAAGTACAACTTAGTAGTGCTAGGAATTTGGAAACTGAACAGCATTTTGTAGATAAGAATTACACTTTGAGTTAATTCATATAACAGAAAATAAATTTGTCTCATCAGAGAAAGGATTACAGTTGATATGAACTTTTTGTTCATAACATTTCATATAGTTATCTGTAATTACTCTCTCACCTCGAGTTTCTGCATTAACATATTCTAGGACAGAGGTGATTATCTATCTGATAGAGCGTTCATAACATTTCATATAGTTATCTGTAATTACTCTCTCACCTCGAGTTTCTGCATTAACATATTCTAGGACAGAGGTGATTATCTATCTGATAGAGCATTCATAACATTTCATATTGTTATCTGTAATTACTCTCTCACGTCAAGTTTCTGCATTAACATATTCTAGGACAGAGGTGATTATCTATCTGATAGAGCGTGCTCCCACTGGCTTATCTCGTCGAGTGCCCACCCATGAACTCCAGGCCTTCTTGGAACAGAACCATATTAAGACCCACCTAAACTCCATGGGAATCTTGTCCTGTGTTCCCCGGTCAGCTCCTACCAAAGATCAGTTAAAAGAATATCTTGACAATCCTCCTGCAGGTAAAAGTCATTTGTAGGAAAGTATATATTGGTTTTAGACCAGAAGATTAGCTTATCTTAGTATATTTGTATTATATATATACTTAATTACCACATGCAATGCTATTAAAACCAACATTTAAATTCCTCTTTGTGTCCTTGATAAACCTTACAGTGAGGAAAAAATGTAATTGGTTTATGAAAGTATTTTAAATGTAGCTAAATTTTAGTGTAAAACTACAGACTTTTTTTATTTTATGTTAAACTATAGAAGTGTATCTAATGTTAAACAACTGGTGTTTTTGTGGTGGATGATGTTGCATCTTGAGTTCTGTTAGTTTTATGTTAATGTGCTATATGGATCTTGTCAAATCTTCTGGTACAAAATCAAGTCCATATATATATATACACACATACACCCATATTATTTTCTCTTTATAATGGGACTTTGCGATAATAAAAGCTAAGTTTTGTTTCTGTTTTTATGCCTACCATTTGAATGCAAGGTCCTTTATGTTTTAAACACTTAATGAAACATTTAGCTTAAGTGTAATTATGAAGAGTTGTAGTTAATGACAAAACTTTCAGGATTATTAAATATTATGATCTCTGCTCTGTGCACATACCAGGAGTGTAAAGGTTTTTACCACAAATTTTATAAATTATAATTTATATTCAGCAAATGATTTCTGAAGTTGCACGGTTTAGATTATGTTAGGCTAAGAGTTGAACATCCTAGACCATGACCTAAGATAACTTTATTTGTTCTTTGTACAGTTTAAATCTTGATACACAATAAAGTTCTCTCATGTTGGATTTTTGTTTTAGGTATTGATCCTTTGTTGTGGCAGCAAGCTAAAATGGACAATCCTGACCCAGATCACTTGATTCCAGTTCCCATGATAGGTTTCACTGAACTCCATCGACGCATCAAAGCTCAAGAACAAGAAACAAAACAACACCAGGAGAGACTAGATGTATGTATCTTAGCAAACAATTCATGAATGGGAAGAGAGTTTAAGCTTTTAACTACTTGCTAGACACTGTCTTTTATCGCTTCTAACAGGCAGACTATAACATACAAACTAAGTTTCAATACAAAACATTACAAGTTTTTGTAATATAACTTCGTATTTACCCTCTTTATGGAACAGTTTATTAGATGATTTCTTGTTATATCTAGCTGTGATTCATTTTTACTAAAAAAACAAAGATGAATAATGACAAGTTGGACACAGCTATTCTCAGTTTAACTGTCATGGAAGTCTCTTAGATAATTAAATGATTTGGCATAAAACAAAAGGAAACCAGAATTCCTTTTCAAACATTGTTTTCTAATTCAGTAATTTATATTTGTAATCATTTCTAATTAACACATGCATTAGAAAAGTTGAAATCATGAGCTTTTTCTGAACTTTATATTTTTCTAGCTCTATTAACAGGATTACAAGTTTTAGTCTCGTAGATGCAACTGGCATGTTCATGCAAATCCAGGATCAAAATAACATTTAAAGAGGAAGAATATTTCTGTGTTAGTAGTATCTATTGGATTTGTTGTCTATTGAGTAGAAACTAGAATTAGCATGCTCTCTTTTCTCTCTTTTTTTTTTTAAGATAATAGCAGAAGACATTTCTAAACTTCAGCAAAGGCACTCCACTACTTTAGCAAAAATAGCTGATCATAAAAGAAAGCAGCTGGAACTTGGACATCGAATTCTGAAGGTAAGCTAATCTCCTGAATTATGGTGTCCCAAACAAACTTATTGTTGTATTATTGGATATAGCTTACTGTAACATTTTCTTGGAAACATTCAATACAAGATTATAAGATCCATTAAATATTTTAACTGGATACTTTATATTAACCCTATTCGGAGCAGTGAGCACCTTTCAGATGTCGAGTGCATGCTTGCATATAAACTTTCAGAAGTTAAGTAAAAATGGTAATTTTAACTGTTTGAACAATTTTTACCCAAAATGATTTTGTGATCGATAATTGGGCATATTGTAAGATTTATTCAGTGTTATTTGTAAGAATGAAATGGAAAACATATCAAACTTACATTGCACAGTGCTGAGGAGTTTTGTCTGTAAACAACAACCTTGTTCATTTTTTTAGAACTTTCCTGACCATTCCGTAGTATATGTTCATGTTCACTTAGAAACTATCATTCTATGATAACGTAATTGTCAAAGTTTTATTACTCGCATGGTTTATCTTTTCTTTCTCTGATGTTATAAGCTCCCTCCCTTTTATGACCTCATGTCACAGCACATGATGTGAATAACTACTAATGAAGCTCTGAAAGCCCCCAAGTAGCACAGCGATATGTTTGTGGAAGTACACCGCTAGAAACCGAGTTTTGATACTCATGATGGGCAGAGCACACATAGCCCATTGTTTAGCTTTGTGCTTAATTACAAACAAACAGCTCTGAATATTAGCTACAGGAAACTTTGAATGCTGTGATATATTAGATGATAAATTATATATGATGAATTAGAGTAATTTTTGCTCTCTTTGGAAAGTAACAAGATCTAACTTCTGCAGAGAACAGTGGAACCTAATGAGACATTTAGACGATTTAGGAACAAACCACAGATCTGGGACATTCCTTTGTAGTTTCTTTAGATATTCTTTTCCTTCCTGAAATGTTTTTGTGTTAAACTACTTTTTTTTTAAAGCTATAGAAATTTTCTTGTCTGACAAGACATCAGTTAAGCCTAGTTTGGTTTATAGAATATGGTAGGCGACAGCAACATTTTCAGATGACTCAAATTTGGTTAAAATTTTTATTGAATATTGTTCAATTTATTGTATTCAAACAACTCATAATAAATAAAAGAACTTATAATTTATTGAACATCAACTTATTTTGACCATTAATATTGTTAGCAAATGTATTGTTACATTGTCTGACCTGTTTCAATTTTGAAAAGTCAGTTTATAGCGTGTTTTTTTACAATTTACAGACAGAAATAGCAACTATTGTATTTGTCAAAATAAAGTATCAAAAGAAATAAGTTCAATGTGAAAAAAATATGAAAAGTTTTGTGAGTACAGCATAAAAAAATAATAGAAATATTAAATTAAATTATATAGATTTTTAAGCCAGACTATATATTATTTGAATATTTTTGTATTTTTTTTTAGTTGCTATTTGGTTAAGTATTTCCATTGTAAGAAGGAAAATAAATCAAGAGATATCATTGAGTCACCTCTCTTGTCTGGAGAAGGTGAATAGGTAGTCGTCAATTCCTTTATAGTATTTTTGGATACAATAATAGAAAAAAATGAATAATAATAATAAATTTAGTAAGTATGCAAATAAATAATTTTAAATTTAAAACAGTAATTCAGTTGGGGATTTGGCCCACTTGAGAGAAATCCTAGGAGTAACACTGATACTGGACAGTTTTATGATTTGCAGTTCATCACACAAATTTTATATTGTGTATGTTTCAGGTCATAGTTTGTCAAGAGATTAGCAGAAAGTTAGGGTTTGCTATTCAGGCAGATGAAGAGCAGTTACGTGTTCAACTTGAAGCATTGCAGGCTGAACTTAATGCTCCTACACAGTTTAAGGTACAAGACAAAGTTATTTAATCTCTTTATCATATCAATACTATTATGAGGCTTAAATAAAAGGTGAGATGTCGTTTGATTTGTTTTAGTGTATCTCATTGTTTAAAGTAACGTTTTTAGAAATATATTGATATTCCTTCATTCTAACCATTTAACATGTAATATTTATACCTTTTTTTATTATTATACTTGCTAACCATTTAATATATAACTTTTATACCTTTTCTGATTATTATATTTGTTTCTTTGGGCAAACCTTCTCATCAAAGCCTTTAACACCTTCAATTGTATGTTATATTTTTCTAAATTGATTTTAAAATTGTGATAGTATGTGGTTAAGAAAAAGGATTTATTCTTTAATAATGTGGGTTAAATATGTGTTGTAATGTTCTTTCACACCTCAGTTTTTAAGTAACATTCTTAATGTGGGTTAAATATGTGTTGTAATGTTCTTTCACACCTCAGTTTTTAAGTAACATTCTTAATGTGAATGTTAGTACTTTGAAAACACTTAGATACATATTTACTGTACACTTTGCCACACATTACTGGATCCAATAAAGTTTAGCATCATAATCAGTTGAAATTTTGTTGTTGGTTGATATTGTTGTTAAGTTTCATTTTTTGAACATTTCCTTCTGAAAGTAAATTTTGAAGGAAAAAAAAAATCCCGATTTCCTTGTTGAAATCTAGGAGAATGGGATTCCCAGTAATCTAGTAGAAATAATAACTACTTTTCTATTTCAGGGAAGATTAAACGAACTGATTTCACAGCTCCGTATGCAAAATCACCAAGTATCTGCCTACAGAGAAACAAGTCATTATACTTTAGATCTAACCTTACAAGAAGAGATCAAACAGGTATTTATAGAACAATCAATGAGGTAGACCTTATTTTCTTAATCAGATGCATAGAAATCCTTACTATAAATTTCCTTTAAAGGTTATGTAAATAGTGGCTAAATTCAAAATGAATATGGTTGTTTTTTTACCATTTATTAATCTTATACATATGTTGGCTTCTGGATTTTATAATCTTGTACCTGTTGGCCATGACAGTATTCCAGTTGGAAAAAATTATTTTGGTGATAAGGCAGTTTGTATATAGTAACCAACACTTTTCAGTTAGTTTGAAAACCGAGAGTATGCCATTATCCCTGTTGAAGGACATTAACCTGTGTTATTCTTGTTAGTTTGGAAACCGAGAGTATACCATTATCCCTGGTGAAGGACATTAACCTGTGTTATTCTTGTTAGTTTGGAAACCGAGAGTATACCATTATCATTATGGATGAATATTAACCTGTGTTATTCTTGTTAATTTGGAAACCCAGTGTGTAGCTTTAGCCTTGTTGATGAACACTAACTTGTGTTACAATATTTGATATTTTACCTGCACCAGTTTTTCTCATCCTTTTTACTGTGAAATTGTTTTAATGAGCAGTTTGACATATGAAAGATGTTTTTTTTTATCATGAACAAAGTATGTATGTTTGTAGTTTAAAGGTATTGTGAACAAAGTGTATATGTTTGTAGTTTAAAGGTATCCTGAACAAAGTGTATATGTTTGTGGTTTAAAGGTATCCTGAACAAAGTGTATATGTTTGTGGTTTAAAGGTATCGTGAACAAAGTGTATATGTTTGTGGTTTAAAGGTATCCTGAACAAAGTGTATATGTTTGTGGTTTAAAGGTATTGTGAACAAAGTGTATATGTTTGTGGTTTAAAGGTATTGTGAACAAAGTATGTATGTTTGTGGTTTAAAGGTATCGTGAACAAAGTGTATATGTTTGTGGTTTAAAGGTATTGTGAACAAAGTATGTATGTTTGTGGTTTAAAGGTATCGTGAACAAAGTGTATATGTTTGTGGTTTAAAGGTATCGTGAACAAGGTGTATATGTTTGTGGTTTAAAGGTATCCTGAACAAAGTGTATATGTTTGTAGTTTAAAGGTATTGTGAACAAAGTGTATATGTTTGTGGTTTAAAGGTATCGTGAACAAAGTGTATATGTTTGTGGTTTAAAGGTATCGTGAACAAAGTATGTATGTTTGTGGTTTAAAGGTATCGTGAACAAAGTATGTATGTTTGTGGTTTAAAGGTATCGTGAACAAAGTATGTATGTTTGTGGTTTAAAGGTATCGTGAACAAAGTATGTATGTTTGTGGTTTAAAGGTATCGTGAACAAAGTGTATATGTTTGTGGTTTAAAGGTATCGTGAACAAAGTGTATATGTTTGTGGTTTAAAGGTATCGTGAACAAAGTATGTATGTTTGTGGTTTAAAGGTATCGTGAACAAAGTGTATATGTTTGTGGTTTAAAGGTATCGTGAACAAAGTGTATATGTTTGTGGTTTAAAGGTATCATGAACAAAGTGTATATGTTTGTTCTTCTAATGGCTAACATTATAGGCTAGCAACAAAGTCAATCTATAGGAGAAATTCCTTACTAACTTTAGTTTAAATGTATAATTCTCATTATAAAGCAACTATTTGATCATTATGTGTTTGTTGTAAAACAGCCAGTGTTTGAAAGTTTGTTTTATCTTCTTTTCTTTCTTTAGCACTTACGTTATCAACAAGATGGCATCAGTCATCTCATCTCAGTACTAAAGGATAACATGGAAGATTTAAAAATTATTGAGGAGGGTCTTAAGGAGGCTTCTGATCGAAGAAGATAATCAGTTAATAACTTAAAAAAATTCTTGTTACAAGAATTTTTCACTAGCTAGAATAACTGGATTTAGACGTCAACTCATCACACTTAAGATCTAACTGTGCTTGTGAGTGGCTAGAAAATGAAATCCATTATAGCTATGGGGTATTGTTGTTTAACATTGTTGCAAGCCACCAAACTGTCACTGTTTGTAAAACGTTTCAAATGTTTTAACACCTGTACAGCTAGTTTTAATTGATTGTAACTATGTTCATGTATTGAAAATAAAATGTTTTAAAATAGACTGACTTGTAGTGTGCCTTTACAGAACAATATTTTTAAGTAATTATAAATATTTGACAAATTTCCTGCATATAATAGGTTACAAATTATAAGAGCAGTAAGTGAAAACATTTCTGAAGTGAAGTGCTGGAGTATTTTAAAGACCATGAAGTGCTGGAGTATTTTAAAGACCACGAAGTGTTGGAGTATTTTAAAGACTAATACATGCAGTTAACTTCTTCACTTTGCATTACAAGTTTGAGAATTTTGGACTTTTGACAAAATTCCAGTTGTTTTCAGAGTACATTTTGGAATTGTGCAGCTGTCTCTCTGTTACAATACAACATATACATAAAAGTATTATATGTTCAATGGCCAAACTAAAGTTTGATACACAAAATTTTATGACATATATGACTTGATTGCTTACACAAATAACCTTTCAAAAAGGTTTTGCATTTTGGAAGACTATTTCAAACACCCCTCCTTTGGAAGGAGGGGGGGGGGGTAATGATTTAAAGGCGTTAATAATACCTTGAAAATTATAACATGTGTGATTTGATATTTATCACTTGAACTCTGAATCAGAGGGCTCACATAACAACACAAAAACACATTTTGCACTTTGAAGCCATGGATGTGCTATAAGAGTGACAGTCAAACCTCGTTATTTGGTCAGACAACAGTAGTTCAAGAGTTGGTGGTGGGTGTTTTCCCTGCCTTCCCCTTTAGTATATCAGTTCGAAATTTGTGACATCTGTATGCAGATAGACCTTGTTTAGTTTTGCACAAATATTCTAAACAAATAAAACCTTGATAATTTACTTGGGATGTGTACCTACTTGTGTGTTTTTATTTTGAGGATTATATTTAAATATGGTAAAGTTTACCCTGGATTTTGCCCGTTTTAATATATTCAATTGGAGAAGTTTATTGCATGTTTTCAATGGCAGTTAAGTGCTGAAATCAGTTCAATCTGAAGATGTATGTTATACATGTGAGTGGAAACTGATACAGTAAATCACAATCAGCTAGACCTTAGGATTTACGACAATTTCATGATATTGAATAATGGAATTAATTATGGAAACACAAGAAATATACATGCAGGAGGAGCACACAAAGTTTAGATAGGGAATTTATTATCAGTACAGAACATCATAGAGAATGCTAACCGTCTTATGTTACTCCCATTTGACTTTAGTGTTTCCACAGACCCTTACAACTTCGAGAATGTGCATATCAGACTTTGGCTATGGTTGTAAATATTCCATCGGTTACTTTACGATCAAGATATCGTTTCTCCACATTTACTGAATGCTTGAGACCATTGTCTTGCTTGAAGACGAATTTCTGGCGATGTTCCTGAAGGAATGCTAGGACTATTTCTTTATTTATCAGCAGTCATATTAACATCAATTTTCTGTAGACCACCAGTACAACTAGCTGAAATACAACCTAAACTTTGTACTGATCTCTCACTAGCGATGTATATCGACTGAAATAACATTATTATTTACTCTGCCATCAAAGAAACTGTCGTTGATTGTTGCCGAACAGTTTTAACTCAAGATTCCTTTGTAAATAACACATATCTCCAGCTTTGCTCCTTCCACTGTTTGTGGTCCGATGCCCATTTTATAATTTTGGTTCGATCATCTTTTCTGAGCAACGAATTTTGGGCAGCTGCGCATCCACTTTATGCTAATATGTAGCTTATTGTTCTGGAGGTAACACTCATACTTGTGTTTATATCAAGGTTGTTAGTCCGTGACTATTGTCTATCTGGTGAATAACCTAACATCGGAGAGTTGCGGTTTTCTATGTAAACCACGTCTATCATTAACAGTGCCAGTTTCGTGTACACTCTTAGTCTTGTATATAGCTAGTTGTGAAACATGGAGTCTTACTTTCTCAGTAGTAGTAGTGTAAATCCAGTCATGGCTCCCAGGAGTGAAATACTGCATGAAAAGCGGATAGAAATCAAAGTTTCGGCTGGTCACGGATACCCCACATGAACAAATGAAAGTAAGACTCCATGTTTCACAACTAGCTATATACAAGACTAAGAGTGTACACGATCAGTAGTAGTAGTGTAAATCCAGTCATGGCTCCCAGGAGTGAAATACTGCATGAAAAGCGGATAGAAATCAAAGTTTCGGCTGGTCACGGATACCCCACATGAACAAATGCATAGTTTGGCTGTCTGTACTTTCTGATTGGTTGGATGACAATAACTCATAGTATAGACCATCAATACGTGTGCGTGCTCTGACGCAGTTCATTTGCACATGATAAAGGAGTGTCATACCTGTACAGTTTCCCTTTTACACCTTTTTTTCCTCACCTTCTGCAGAATTATTTTCACTACTGTATAGGTGTGAAAAGTGAAAATAATATTTTTACAGCCAGATAACGTGTGTTTGATTGCATTATCTTTATGACGTACATATTTTTTTCTTTCTGTGTGTATGTTTGAGGAAAAGTTAACATGCGCCTACTGTTTACAGAAAATTACTCCATATAGAAAAATATGAAGATGTCACAGATCAACTTCAAATCTTCTGACAATGACACGAGAATTACTTTGTAATATCTGTTGTTCAACAAGTGTAATAAACCATCCATTACAGAACTTTCAATACATAAAACATGTCAACTACGTAAAACAATAGAAATGTAAGATAAAGACTCATTGTTTCCTAAGCCTCGACTATCACTCGCGGAACTACACAATTTAAATATTAACGTTGTATATAATGCAGCCTAATATATTATTCTTAATGCAGTAAAACACACAATCAACTAAAATTTTCTGAATTTCACAGATATAATGTAAAGTACAAAAAATCTGGAATAAAACAGATGTTTAGTAAATAATTTACAAAACACTTAATAGACAATGCAACTCCAATTTCACGAGCTTTTGATTTGATAAAATTGCTTCTCGTTACGATATGGGATTCGGGAATTATTCTTTAATTATGATAATCATGGTGTAATTATTTTGAAAGGCACTTAAGGTTCGTCACATTCCGTAATAAACATAAATAAAGTCGGTGCGTTATTCGCATGTTTACTCAAGTGTCAAACAGACTAAAACATTGAATAAACAGTGGTAATTGTTCTTTTGTTGTAACTTTCCACACAAGACGGGTCTTGCTTTCCTGAGTTGTTACTTGCATATCAGTAATTAAGGCCTTGTTGAAGACTTTTTGGTTCATTGTTATTTGCTAGGTTTGAGAATATTAGCAATTCGTTTTATTGTATAGATGACCGTAGAAATTTTCATATCAAGATCACCAGAAAATTTTTCATGATTCAAGACGAAGAATGAACAAACTCGACTAAATACACAGCCAAGTTCGTTGTAGAATCGATAACGTACCTTATGATGTTTAGTCAATAGCCAAAACGGGATATCCGTTTATGAATACAACTTAACAGTATATTTACCTGGGAAAATTATACTGTCTTAAAGGAGTCAGGAAAAACTGTGTCAGGAATAAAATTATTTAAGCCCCCAGGATTAATTCAAGTTTGCATTATTAATATTTTAAGCTAGAAGACTGGGGGTTTTTAATTGCTAATTATATTAGTGAATGTTATAAGTTGCCACAAAGTTTTTATCAGATTTGGAAGCAAAATATATTTCTTAAGAGTAACAATTTTGTAAAAGCAGAATCTCAAATTGTATCAAAACATAAAGTGTGTTACAAATGCTTATTACTAAAAGCTGGGCGAGCTGGACTGTATATCCGAGGATTCACTATTCGCGTCCCGCTGCCGAGAAAACTCGCTCTTTCCTTGGAGGCTGTGGTTGTGCTATAATTATAAGAGTGACAGTCAAATCCCACCATTCGGATAGAATAGCGGTGGGTGCCCTAACTAGCTGCCTTCCATGTAATTTATTAGAAACGACTATGTGTTTATAGACTGTGCAGCTTTGTACGAATATATATATTGTACTGAAATACTTCGGAATAAAAAACAAACAATGCCTCAAGGAATGCAAAACTAAACTATTTTTATAAGTTAGGTTAGGAAATGGATATAAGATTTATTTATATAGCTAAAACTGCAGTGTGCTAGATTCAAAGCAGTTGATTGTGATCGAGATTCTATATGATAGTGAACGATGCAATATAAAACTAATTGATTCTTTCTCAGGCCTATTTTTTCTCTTTATTTATATAACGCAAGCTATCATTCCATAGATAGAAAGTTGTGATGAATAGATGAGCTGTCGTCCTGTGGACAAAAGATAATCACTTTCTCAACACTCCACTTTCCAATCATTGCGCCCGTTGATAAGGGAATCCTCCCCTCCTCTTCCTCTTCTACAGCCTCATTTCCTAAAACGACAAGATTACTAATAATTCTACGTAGCAGATTGACGAACCGAAATGACTTCACGAATGACACCATTCATTGCGGGATTTCATTTTTCGAGAAAACCCCGCCATATTGGATGTCCACATAAGCCACTCAGCTGTTGATGGATTGGGACTGATAGCTTAAAGCTGCCAGCGTTCGAGAGAGTTTTATGGAGACGACCCTTAACCCCATATTGCTTTGTCATGTGGTCGGCTCGTCTCTTGATGATTTGCCAAACATCTTAACTGT